AAGGCCAAACTACAAAAGGAGCAAAACTTGATTCACGACTTCAAGAAAATGTCTACCTGATCCTTCTCCTTGATAATGGAATGAGGGTGGATCATGAATTCTTGGACTCTTCTCAGCTGCCTCCACCTACTTCCGAACAGATCTAGTTGCCAGAACCCAAGCTCCTGGAAGAGGTGCTCATTCAGAACTCATTTTAGAATCAGGTGGAAAGAAGAATGCTTAATCGTTTCCTTCCCTGGCTTATCCTGACATATCATGAACAAATGTCGCCTATGATGAAATGTCCACCAATGAAAAAGAAAAAAAACTGTGGCCAACTTGGCAATGAAAAGCTTGTGCTTGTTTTCTATCCTCCTCTATATTACTTTCCTCTCATATTTTTACTGTCTTGTGTTTGCGCCCCCTCCCATAAATTATTAGCACATTAGAAAAATGATGATGAAGGTCTTTTGAATCCAAAGTTCATGCTGCTTTCCCTATACCACTCTGATCCACTGAGTACCCTTTCCACATGACGAACTTACACTGTACTAATCTTTCTTAAATCCAGCCCTTATTATCCATAATTTTACGTCTTTGGCACATGCCTTGGTAAGTACCAAATATGTTGTTCATTTCCTTAGCCTCAATGCTCTTTCACATTTCCTGCAACTTTGCCTATGTGTAATGCTGTTGCACCACGTAGTCCTAGTTTCAAATACAGCTCCAGCCTTTGTATGGCAAGGTTTGATAGATGTGTGAGATGCTGCCTCCTTACCTATAAGGCAGAGAGATAATTTCTCCTGCTCAGATGGATTAAATAATATTATAAATGGCACATAGTAGGGGTTCTGATTCTCCTCCACGTTCCCTCCATCTGGTATGTCCCATCTACTGTCTCTGCTTAACAAAGTCCTTTCAAGGCCAAATTTAAGTGTTACATTCTCTTTGAAGCATTCCCAAATCAACTCAGTCATGAATTATCCCTCATTCGCATTCCTACTGCACTTGGCTGTATGTTTCATGCCAATAAGATATTTTGTATCTTGCTTACTTCACTCTTCTAGAATTTAAGCTCCTGGAGAGCGTACACCACTTAATTTGTATTTAATTTGCATTCCCAAAATGCTTTCTACATTGTTGGTGCTATAATAAATATTTATTGAATGTCTGAATGAATTCTCTCTTCTACTTAGATCCCTAGCACACACTCATTTTAGCTTTCATGATTGCTATTTTTGTTCGACTGCTTGGCATCATGTCTAAAGTCCAAAATCCTATACCTTTTTAAAAATACAGCAATCCCCAACATACACAGACACAAATCATTCTCTAATTACTTAAGACTTTCTTAACTCTCATACATTTATAGTCTGTGGTTTCTAAGATGTATGCCGTCTCCTGGTATTCCCTAGCTTATATGGCCTGTCTTAAGCAGGCATTCTTCTTTAAGGTAGAAAGCATAGTTTATAATTTCTTTTGCATATTGCACAGTGATGGATTTGGTTGGCACTTAAATCGTTACTGGATTTTGGATACCTGAGAGTCATCTTCAGACCCAAGCCTGATTCAGAAGACAGAGAACACCTAAGAGCAGCTTATGTCTCTAAATTTTACACCTACAGGTTCTTATACAAAACCTTGTATGTGCAAGGTTCCAGATAAGCCTGTGTATGCAATGATGAAAACCCAATGTATTTAAGTAAATGCCTCCTGTTTTTCAGATTATATATGTTCTTCAATTTACAATGCGGTTATACTCCAATAAACCAATCGTAAATTGAAAAATACCCTAAGTTCAAAATGCATTTAATTCACTTAACCTACCATAGCTTAGCCTAGCCAATCTTAAATGTGCTCGAACGTATTAGCCTGTATCAGCTAACAGAAAGTCTATTTTTAAATGAAGTCTTGAATATCTTATGAAATTGTTCAATCCACGGTAAAGCACAGTATCGGGCATTTGCCCTCCTGATCACGTAAGTGGGAGCTGCACTTGCAGCCGCTGCCCAGGATCACGAGAGTGTCTTTTTCCACATGTTGCTAGCTTGTGAAAAGATCAACATTCAAAATTTGAAGTTTGGTTTCTACTGAATGCATGTTGCTTTCACACCATCATAAAGTTGAAAAATTGTAAGTTGAATCAGGGTAAGTAGGGGTCTGTCTGTATGTAATTTATAGAGGAAAACATTTTACTATTCTTGCTTTAATTCTGTTCTCTCTCTTTTTTTATAATGATAGCAGGGAGTTATTGTCATTAAAATATTGTACATATCTAATGACTTTGAATATTTAGTAGGTAATTCTCCAAAGTCATGGGAAATCACTTGGAGAGAAGATTCTTGTCTTAAGGAGATTTGACATTGTTTGTTTAGAACTTCTAAATGATTTTGAAACAAAATTTAGTGAAAATCACCCTTCTGGTGTTACCTGAAGTTGATCTCAAAGTGTGAGGTTAAAAACAGAAAAGTCAAAAAGAGCATTGATGCTATTTGACCCGAGCATGTACCAAGAAATATTAACTATTTTGTCAGTCTTCTACTAAAAATTATTATATTCCATAATCATTATTAAGGCACTATCATTTAAAATTCAGGTCAGGGATTATTAGGAAAAGTGTTATTTACACTATTTCTATAAAAGAAAAATCACAACTCTATTATAAAAAAACAAGTGAGAAACAAAATCTCTTTGTAAAATATCATCAGTTAATTATCATTTTGAAAGAATTATCATTGTGGCCTAAAGTTTGGGGAATGAAAATAAGTTACTTGAATGCTCTTTATTTATATTAACTCATAATGAATTTTCATAAAACAGATATATTCATCTTTGAAAACTAGAAAAGTGGCCTTTGATTTGTCATCTATTTTTTTCCAACACTGACAGCATTGCAGTGGATTCACATGAGGCATGGAAATTTATAAATGTTATGATTTTCACCTCTTTTGCCAATAATGTATTAAAAAATTTGCTATGTCATTGCACTCTTATTGTCTAATGAGCTGGGTTTTCCATGGCAGTACAATAGAATAAAATTCAAATGTAGTCTCATCAGCTCTCTTAATAATGTAATTTGTAAGTTATTTGTATTTGGGAATGTCAAATGGACAAGTGTTCCTTGGGAAAAGATGACTCTGGATACAGTTCAAAATCATTCCCTTATATATTCTGTGCATGTGATTATTTCAAGATATAATGGCTCAGACTTTGGTAATATCTCTTATGTAGCTGCATATTTCAAATTCTAGTGAAATATTTGAAAAGCCATATTCAAGCATGAAAGCTGCTGATGTTAAAGGTATCCACATAATGTAATGAACCTTTGACAAGCCAAAGTGCAAAATAAGAGCTAGGTATATTATAGCATTATGAACTTTTCAAGGGAACATCCAAGCATTATCACATCATTTAGTCTTTGGTTAAATGCTGGAATTCTTCAAATTAAGAAAATTTTATAGAAACTCAAAAAACCTTAATACTAAAATTCTGAGCATTACTTTTGAATTTAGAGAAGTCATATATCCATAAAGTATAGTCAGGAGTTAATAATATACTTATTATACTACTTTGAGATCACCCTGGGCAACATAGACTTCATCGCTACAAAAAATAAAATAAAATAAATTAGCCAGGTGTAGTGGTGTGTGCCTGCAGTCCTAGATACCTGGGAGGCTGAGGCAGAAGAATCATGTGAGCCCAGGAGTTGGAGCCTGTGGTGAGTCGTGACTGTGCTACCAGCACACTAGCCTGGGCAGCAGAGTGAAACCCTTGACTCTCTCTCTCTATATATCTTTACTACACTTTTTTAACATGTCAGGCAATAAAATTATTTATTATAAGGTTATGATGCAAAGTTAAAGCATTAATTTTGAGAAACTGGACAATAGACCTCATTTTTCTAAAATTATATTGATAGCACAATGCAATTCCTTGAAAAGTTTCCAGAATTCTTTTCAAATCTATCTCAGAACATAAAATGTAGTTTTATTGTTTTGAGTTTTATTACTTAATCTGTGGAAGGATGTATATATAGATTGAAGCACTCATCTAAAGCATCACAGATCCATCACAGCCTACTGGGGCTGAGCACATCTTGGATATTCTAATTTAGATTAGGACATGCAGGTAGAGATGCAAGTGCCTTTCCAAAGTCACAATGAAGCAGGGGCTGGCTAGAAGCAGGTCTCCAAATGCTTCAGCATATGCCACCCTCCCCACCCCATGCACTATGCTGTTGTCTTACTAATTTTATGTCCCTGCAATCTTCATGAAGTAGGTAGGCCTTTAGTAATGTGAATACATTGCCTCCATGATGTGCTAAATATTCGAATTCCAACATTAAAACATTTTTCTCATAAACCCAACATTTGCAATTCTTAGGTAATAACGTGAATCGTTCCAGTGATCATTGTGGGCTCCCCCTACCCCTTCCTTCATTTTTCTGAATAAAGACAGTTAAATCTCCAAGGACAGGTAATCATTTCTAAAGAGAGACACTTAAGCCATTTAGAAGTCTGAATTTGGTTTTTCTGTAAACCTTGGACCCTCCGTGGTTGAGGTATGGATAGAGCTCTTTGCATGTAACAATTAGGATGGTGAGAAAGAAGAGCTCATAGCTCATGAGTGATCTGTGGTTGGAACCTGAAACATAGGGTGTCATGGGTCACATCCAAGCCAAGCTCTCAGGACTAGTGTTTTCCAACTTATTTTACATTTACCAGACATTTCCATGACCACATTTAGGAATTTTACCCATTTCAGGTTATATGCTACATGTACTTATACAACGTGTTCTTAATCTTCTAATAATAATTGCACAGTTTTTCCTTACATATAAAGAAAATGGGTCTCTCTTATGGATTTCAGTTACAGTTTCAGTAGAGACTGAAAGTAGAAAGGCACTCAAAGTCCCCATTTATAAAAAATAAGGGTAGGGACAATGTGAAAAGAATGGCTATTTTCCAAATGCAGATTAATTTGTACTAGATGACATAAAGAAGGCACAACTAAAGCATTGGTAAAGCCAGTAAACAATATTTTACTGAAACATTTCATAACACAGAAAATCTGTCTGAAGTGTAAAGTTACTGTCTTACACAAGAAGGACAGACCCATTTTCAAAGACTAATATGAATACAATAAATATGGAGTTTACATACTAATTTATACACAGAAACTCTGCCCCACAGCCATAAAATTTATATTTAACAGTGCAACATATAATTTAATCATTTGATTTATTTGACAGGTTTTCCTTTTTCTTTTTGCTAAACACAAACAACTACCTGGTTTTCATATACATATATATTTTTATGTATATAGTTATTCAACAATTTGTACAGTTTCTAAACATAAAACTCCTAAAAGGCACAATTGTCTATACAACATGTACAAAAATGGCTGGAGCTGACACAAAACGACGATTATTGGTCAAAAGTTCATGATTGCACAAAGATTAGTCATGAGTTTATGTCAGAAAAATGTGCTTTAAGGAAAGGGGGGTTTTCAAAGAAACCTTTAAGTGTTATTAAAAAAAATAAAAAATACAAAACAAAACCCACTAGGTTGCTATCACAAGCCTGTCCTCATCATCATCACTGCTAACGTCGCTGAACTGCACAGGGGGCTGCCTTCGGGGCAGTGCTGCAGGCCTGGACACCTGTCTATCTGGAGAGAGAGTCTGCTGGCTTGATGGCTTTGCAAAAACTTCAGAATGTGCCTTCAGCAGAGGTTCTGGCGTGGACGCTGGTTGGCCCTGTCCAGAAGCGAGTTCAGACTTGGGTGTCACGTGATTTGCTGAGGCAGCCTTCTCTGTGTCCATTTTCCTCGAGTCATCAAGCCTTGCATGGTCACCTGCAGGGGCAGGTGGATTCAGAACTTGTTTTGCATTTTCCTGCTGGACTGTAGGTGACCCCTGAGGAGACTTGGTCTTGCTGACCTGGTTTGCATCGGCTACAGAAGTCTGCTTGGGTTGTGTCTCGCGTGCTTTGCCTTGAGAAGCTGGTATCTCCGGAGCTCCCTGTGTGTCAATGGTAACTTGACTCACTGAGGGGATTAAAGTAGGCAATGCTATGTTCAAGATCTGGAGACCTGGAATGTGTGCCTGAGGGGCAGGGCTACTTTGTGAGGAAGGGTTTGCAGTCAGAACCTGCAGGCCAACAGCGTTTAGAGCGAGTCCTGGTGGATGTACCTGCGGAGCCATATTTGTATTGGCTAGACCTACAATATTGACCGTTTCCATGCTTAGTGAGGGAATAGACTGCAAGCCTGGGGTACTCAGGTTCTGAAGGCCTGGCACACGGATTTGGCCGATGGGAATACATGGCACAACACTACTTAATTCTGCCACTCCAGTGGGGTTTGTAGTGCCAGACACTTCTGTCACCGTATTCCCAGGAGTGCCCATAGTCCTGTGAACGACACTGACAGCAGGGATTGTAAGTTGCACTGGCCCAGCTTGAAGGGGCACAAACGTGGAGTATGTGAGGCCGGCGGGTACTACGTGGATTCCCCCAACTGGAACCATGTTATAAGGTGTCCTTGATTGCTGCTGGGAATGCAGAGGAAGGTGGCTAAACAAACGAGTCTGGGGAGAAGGCAGGCTTGAAGCTGGCTGGAGAGTTACTTGCTGCTTCTGTTCCTGAGGGTCAGGATGAGGTGAGGCCACAGAAGGCCTGCCTGTCGCTGGCTGGGGGCAGTGCTCAGCTGCAGCAGCAGAAAGTCTTCCGGATGATGAGTGCTAAATGACAAGACAGAACAGTCCTTTGAGGAGGGTTTTCTTGACCACTGAGCTCAAGTGCTAGTGCTAAATCTCTTCCTTCCTAATGAGCTAAACATACACATATCTGTATTTTATACAAATTATAAGCTTCCTAAAGATTTAATTTAGATTTTTAAAAATAAATTTCCATTGAAAAAGTCTATGACATCTTTAATCTCTTTCTTCACTAGTAAAATTAACAGCAATATATTTTGTATAGTCTTTTGCATGTTCAAACAAATCTCCTGGATATCATCACATTTTATACTGAGAATAATCCTGAGATGGACATAGTTATAGTCTTATGTTGTTGTTATGGCTATTTCTGGTACCACAGCTCTACTTTGTTTTAGAGATTAAGAGTTATGGAGAAATTGAGATATCAGCAGGCTATATTAACAGGGAAAAATTAAACAAAGCATTATTTGCTCATGAAGCAAAACGTTGTCATTAAGAAAAAGGTTTTCTGTTTGTTTGTTCATTCATTCATAAGTTTATGAAATGTCTACTGAAAATCAGAGTTCCAGCTGCTGGTAAGTGTGTGAGAGGTTTTGGGATAAAGCTTAGAGCATGGGTGGCCAATATTAAAGTGATAAACCTGGCCCATCCTCCTTTCCACCCAAGATTAATATCTCACTATTAGCTCTTTCTTGGTAACATCTATTTATATTTAGAGCTACATTAATTTAATTTATATATTAATATAATTTAATTTACATACTAGTGTAATTTAAATAAATTTATTAACTTATGCTAGTCTGCAGAAATTCAAGCTTTTATATAGTCTTTTGATTTTTCTCCAGTGTTCCCAGCAAACTAAAATCTGCCACATTTAGAAATAAATCCTATTACAATATTCAATACATAGTAGAGATATGAGAACTGTCAGTGACAGGAGAATGTATTCCTCCCAGAATTAATCATTTGTCATGAGACAGCCAGGGGTAAAGCAAGGAATAACTCACAGCACACTGAATGTGCCTTTCCGGAGGCCTGTGTCTGCCTTGAGCTGTTTCTTGGGCAGAACACTCTCCCAAGCTGTTACAGCAATTTGATCATTCAACCAAAGTGAACTTCTTGATATATTTCTGGGTCACATTAACTTTGCCATAGAAACTGGTAGCTGTCTTGCCAATGGGGCAAAGTGCAAAATGTTTAGATGATTTAATGCAAACCCATCACATCAACACCAGTGGGAAAAATAACTCAGAAGGAGCTGTGAGATAAATAAGTCCTGGGATTCAAACGCTCAATAGTCACTTTTTTTTTAATTTCAAAAATTGTTTAAAAAGCAAATAATAGTAAATGGCTGTATTTTTCAAGAACAATCTGGTTCTTTCACAGATTTACAATACAATATGTGAACTCTGATTAAAATACTTAATAAAACTCCAAAGGACATAAACGTCCTCTGCCCTTAAATACAACAATAAAAAATAAGGTCATACAGACTGATTCAGCCATAAATAAATCATTTAGGCACATTATTTTATTAAGCTGTTAGGCTCCCCATATTTAATAGGTTAAAAAAAAAAAGAACAACCTCCAATCATGTACCTGTGTTAAAATAATAGCCTCTCCTGCCACAGAACTTCTCAGAATTTCTTCTGATTCAGGGTAGTCCACAGACATCTGATGACATGGGGACTTGGGTGCAGCTTCAGGGGACCCAGAAGAGTCTACAGGAGGAATCGTGTCATCTTCATCTCTTGCAGCATGCTGCCTGGCCTTCTCCGGAGAGTTTGTCTTCCTACTGTAGTCAGACTGCACTGTGCTCAGGACGGTCATCTTGGTGAGCAACGCTCTAGGAAGGACATCCATTGGGTCTGTGTGTACCCCAGAAAAGCAGTCGTTGATCCTGATGTCCTCATCAGCACTCACAGAATCCTGAAGGCTACTTCTAGAAGGAAGACGCTGCGGGCTGGCTGTGACAGAGGGTGCTGCTGACAGGACCGATTCAGCCTGGCTGTCTTCATCATCATCTTCGTTTTCATTATCATCCTCATCTGGGCCATCAGACTCTTCAAGATCGTATCCAGACCGCTCATAACTGAATCTCTGTTTCTCATCTAATAAAAACAACCAAGAGGATGTGTTACAGAATGTTTTGCAAGTGGACAAGTTTAACTTTTTCTTATGCGCTTGGCAACGCTGTGAAGAATATAAATGACAAGGACTCTGCCTACAAAAAGCCTACACACATGGGGCTTTTTGTAGGCAGAACATGGGGAAGAATAAGTCAGTCAGTTCAACAGGACTCAGAGGAGCGAGAGGGAGAAACATGGCCAGGTAGGCTGTGTTGGGGATAAGAAACATGAAATGAGCCTCAAAAGAGGAATCAGACAGACAGACAGTAATACACAGACACTCAGAAATGAAGGTTTTAAATATTATACTTGAAAAATCCCTAAAGTTTCTATATATCCAAACTATATAGAAAATGAATAAAGAGCCCAACACCCTCTTTTCCTGAGGCCCCTTTCTCTCACTTTTATTGAACAAATTAAAATAAACACAAAAAACTGATGGCATTTTGTATTTGTGGAAAAAATAATTTTCTTTAGTACTTAAATGGTATTGTAGTTATGTTTCAGTTGTCCTTTGTGTAGTAATTTTCATCAAATTTTCAAGCACTATGTTTCTCTGTCAATTTATGATTCAACCCATTTCTCACAGCAAGAGGGACATTATCCAAAAGTCATTAATATTAGCCTCATAATACCATGTGAACTGGGTTTAATAAGGAATATTAAATCAAGATGGTCCAGGAAATAGTTTCAAAATTCTCACAAGCTCATGTGGAACATGCTTTAAAATCTTCACCTATTCAAATTATTAGAAATTAAAATTTATCTTTCTCTTATAAAGCTAAAAAACCTTAAACATTACACAGGCAGGAGGAATGCAAAACACCTACCCCATTTCTTTGTCACTGAGGTATAATAAAGATGCCACCAGGTAACATAGAGCTTAACTGCAATGTACTCTGTGTTTACACACATTTTTTGAAGAGAGAAAAAATATAAATAGAGAAATAATAGGTATTTTTCCTGGATTTTCAAAATGGTCTATATATTTATTTATTTTACTACTTTTTCTTTCTATATGAAAAAGCTAAGATCTTTAAAAAAAGAGTCTCAGAGGACCCATACCAGATCATTTGGGGATAATTCTTTCTAGGGGATTGAAAGGACTAGAACTTTTATATTATTTATCACAAATGTGTTACTTTTATAACTTAAAAATTTGAAGATAAAACATATGCATTTAGGTTCCTTTAGTAAGTCCTTTACTTTCAGGATTCTACTGTTATGTTGCAAAATAAGTAATTAAATAAGGTTAATACCAATTTATTGAGTCCTACTAGGAGCCCTTGTTGGAGATCAAATGGATCAGTAATTTCTGGGTAAATGCCAGACTCTGGCCTTAGATATTTCTTCTATACTTTATCTGATGTTTGACATTCCAAAATCAGAGTGTCATCTTCAATTTGACTTGAATTTATCACATTAATGCCTTACCAGATTCTTTTAAAAAGATGCATCTTCTTTTAAAAGAGAAAAATATAAAAGACTAGAGGGAACTGGATGACTAGGAGAATAAGCTATTGGAGAAGAGGGCTAACTTCCCCTTGCCACAAAGTCTAACTAGAATGGGGCTTGCTTTACCTTAATAACTATATATAAAGTCAAGGTATCAAACAATCAACAGCCCCAAATCTAAGGAGAGTGAGTAACTGAAGAAAAAGCTTGTGTCACCTAGGGCAGATGTAATAGAACACTGGTTAGAAGCAGTTAGTTAAAGTAGCAGGTTAGAGACAAGAGGGGGGTTGCCTGGGGGTTATGCTCTCTTGCAGGATCTATGCCATGAACCCCGCCCAGGTGCTCACAGCAAAGAGCACTATAAAGTGTGCACTGTGGTCCAGATCTGGGGAGAGGAAGTAGCCATACAGGAGTGCCAAAGAACTTCACCTGGATTTGTCTCTTCTCTCTCCACTAGGAAAACAAAAGCCTTGTCCTGTGAAGGAAAAGGCAACACGCACTGTTGTCCTTAGGACATTGGTAAAATCTCAGAGTGAAAAAAGGTAACAGGAAGAAACAACAACCACCATGGCTCCTTGTGAGGATCAGGATTACAGCAGAGCCTCAATAATAGCTGGGGGAAAGGCGGAGAACTGAGAAGGTCAGAGCTCAGAAACAAAAGAACACGGTGCATGTATGAGACTGAGGCTCAATCAGGACAGAAATAGCATCCATCCTCCTCCTTACCCACCCCCCTCCATGCCAAGCTAAGCAGCTTTGAATGACAGGTAACAGTAAAGTACTTCTGGGAAAGAAGAACAAGGATGTACAGAGAGACACTCTGTGAAGTGTAAAAGGAAGACCTAAAACGAAAATTGAACAAAGTTCTTGTAATCCAACACCCACTCAAAACACGAGGTCCCTCTACAGGAATTTGAAGCCTCTGATGTAGTGAGGACAAGTCATAGCAACAGCAAATCTCTCTCAAACTCAGTCTAGCTCTTAACTAGATAAACTCTAACCCTACATTAATAGCCTTAAGAAAGAGAGATGTGTCCATTTATAGACATAAAAACAACTTACATGAGCCTCTACTGTCTTACACAAGAGGTATAGCTCTCAACACAAAATTACAAGGCCTACAAAGAAGGCAAGAAAAAACATACTCTGAAGAGGCAAAGTAATCATCAGAGCCTGAGTTCGACAGGACATAGATATTAGAACAGGCTGAGAATTAAAAATAATTATAATTGATATGCTAAAGGTTATAAGGGGAAAGGTGGACACACACAATAACAGATTAGACATTTAGCTGACAGAATACAAGAAATGAAGCGAAAATGGTACAAATAAAAAACACAGTAACGCGTCCACAAGAAGAAAATTGTCAAATCCAGAATTCTATGCCCATTGAAGGTAAATTTCAAAGATGAAAGAGAAAAACTTTTTAAAAAATGAAAACAAAAACTGAGGAAATTTATTGGCATTTACTTGATCTACTAGACAATAAATGTTAAAGGAAGTTCTTCAGGCAGAAAGAATACAACATTAGATAAAAACTTGGATCTATACAAAGAAAGAAAAACACTGAAACTGCAATAAATAATTTTTCGTACTTTTAACTGCTCTAAAAGATAACTGAATATCTAAAACAAAAATAGTAATAATGTTTTGTATGTTTATAGCAAATATAAACACAAAAAATGTGACAACAAAAGCATAAAGGATAAAAAAAGGAACTGTCAATAACTGTACTAAAGTCTTTATACTACATGTAAAGCAATGTAATATTACTTGAGGGTAAACAACTAACATTTTTAATGGTATAAATAATGAGTCAATAGAGGAAATTTTAAAATGCCCAATACTAAAGAAGGCATAACAAGAAGAAAACTGAAAGCAAAAGAAAGGGAAACCAATAGAAAATAGCTGCCAAGATAGTAGATTTTAATTTAACTAGAAAAATAACATTAAAAGAAATGATCTAACATAAATTAAAAGGTATAAATTGTCAAGATTGTATAAAAAAGCAAATACAAGTATATACTGTGTATTTATAGTGCATTTTAAATATAAAGACATAATAAGTTGAAAGTAAAAGTTTGGAGAAAGATATACCATAAATCACCAACAAAAACAGTAGCAGAAACTATACTAACAGCAGATAAAGGAGACTTTAGAAATAAGAATACTATTAAGGATAAGCAGAAGCATTCATTACATAATGATAAAAGGATCACTCTTTATGAACATAACAATCCTGAGTGTGTATGCAGCTAAATAGAGCTTCAAAATAAATGAGACAAAAACTGAAAAAATAATAAATCCACATAGTTGAAGACTTCAATGATCCATTTTCACTGATTGATGGGAGTAAGTAGAAAATCAGGAAAAATGTAAGAGACTGGAAAAACACCACCAACCAATGAGAACTGAAAGACATTTACCGAATATTCTATTCAACAACAGAATATACTTTTCTTATAAATGTACATGGAGCATTCACCAATATACATCATATCTGAGCTACAAAACAAACCGTAACTAATTTAAATGAATAGAAATCATATAGAATATCTTTTTACACAAAACAGAATTAAATTAGAACTCAATTAATTGGACGATATCTAAAAATCCCTCGACTATTTTAGATTTAAAAACACATTTCTAAATATTCATTGAGGTCAATGAGGAAGTCTTAAAGAAAATTTCAAAATATTTTTAACTGGATGAAAATTAAAATATAACATTCAAAATTTGTGAGATGCAACTAATGCAGTGGTCAGTGGGAAGTTTCTTGTATTCAACATTTTTGCTCGAAATGTAGAAAGGTCTCAAATAAATCTAAATTCTCATTCTTAGAAATCAGAAAAAGCAGATCAATCTAAACCTAAAGCAAGAGAGGGAAGAAAATAATAAAAATAAGAACAGAAATAATAAATTTGAAAAAAAAAGGAGGGAAAAACTAATGAAGCAATAGCTAGAGCTTTAGGGGAAAAAAAAATCAATAAAATTAATAAACCTCCGGTAATACTAGCCAATAAAAAATGAGAGAAGATACAAATTATTAATATCAGGAAAGAAAGAGGTGATATTACTACAGACCCACAGACATTCAAATGAAAACAAGAGAATGTATGAAAAACTCTTGCCCATATATTTGACAACTTAGATGAAATGGACCAAGCCACTGAAAGACACAAAGTGCCAAACCCACACAAAAAGATATAATTTGAATAATTCTTTAACCTACTAAATAAATTGAATTCATAGATTAAAAAAACCTATCCCCCAAATAAAAAGTTAAAGTTCCAGGCCCAGATGGTTTCACTGTTGAATTCTACCAAACGTTTAAGAAAAAAATAAATGCTAACTCTACACATTCTCTTCCAGAAAACAGGAGAGAGCACTTTTTAAATGAAGCATTACTCAAAACATAAACAGAAATGCAAACTCTTTTATTAACAGAGATGTGAAAATCACCAACAAAGATGAGCAAACTAAATCCAGCAACATAAGGGACAATTTATCATAGCCAAGTGTAATAC